TTATAGAAATTGTTAAGGGTTTCGGTGCCAATAACGTTTTGGTCGACATTTTCTCTGCCTGCGCTTCAAAGTTTGCGAGATCGCGAGCCTTGCGGGGTTGAGGCGAAGAAGGGGGGGCGGGGGCATAATTAGCCGAGTGCATAAACAACAGTCGCATTTTCTGCATCATGGGTGTAGAATCGAACCTAAAGACCCTGCTCTATGTTCGTGAATTTTCGACGACATACATAGGGACGGCGCAGTATGCGCTGGTGGAAGTATTTTCTCCTACGGTTAGCATCTTAGACGTTGGGGGGGGGGGGGCAGGGCGGGCGCATAATTCACCGAGTGCACAAACCGCAGTCGCATGGTTTGTTTCACGGGTGTAGAGTCGACCCAAACCTCTGATGCAGTAGCATGCCCTTTTCTTTCGTTAAACACATTCACTCGCAACGGTGTTCAATCCTTTTCAGGCTTCTTTCTGGAATGCGCTGATCGACATAATTCGTGAGACGGAAGACGATGTCAAGGCGCCTGCTTAGTTGATGCGTTTCAACGATTGGATATGGAGCACTTGCTGGACGCATGCAAAGAAAATTTAAAACTTTACATAGGCGTGGCACATGGAGGAGCTGGAAAAGGAGGCTCTCAGTTCCGTGACGGAGCGAAAGACTCCTTGGCCGATGACAGACACGGCGGCACGATGTTACTTGATGGCAACAATTAGAGCAATGAAAGTACAAAGATTTGAATTTGGTTATGCAGGTCATGGCGTGTGGGTTTGGTAAGTTTGCTTCGACACGGTCGTGGCAACAGTAAACTGTGCTGGCTATTGCTGTGTGGCTTGTTTTGTGGAGCTCTTGAGCGAGCCATAAGGCGACCTCTACACCTCCAATGGGCTCGAACAGAGCACCATGCCACTTCGAGGAATCGCGTGCAAATTTGCCGCACGTGCCGCGGGACGTCTTCTCTACAACATGCTGAAAGGACCGTGCGCCATCTACATGTGGCGAAAATATACAATTGACAATGCCTTCTCGTGTGAAATCTTATCAGAAATCACACTACCGTGCGCAGCGTGTACATGCACACGAGGTTGAGAGAATAGAAGGACACGAGAAACACAAGCTGCACTCCTCGTTAAACTCGAGTACTGTCTGCCCGCAGGAGCATGCTATGACGAGCTTCGGAGTCAGCTTCGTGATGCCCTGCTTTGCGCGGCTTTTGCGCATCGTGTAGCTCGGCTGACATATATACCAAAACTACAAGGTACAAGAAGTTCTCGATGTTCTGGGCTGATATTCGCCGAAGAAGTTTCCCGTGGAGGACTTCATGCGGGCCATGCGGACCTGGCGTCGTTCGGTTGCAGTAATTGAATCGTCCTGTCGAGCCATGTGCTTTTTCTAGTGTAGGTTTGGTGACGAATACAGCGGCAACTCTTTAGCGCAATATGTGATTCGAGCGTTGACGATTCTGAATGTGAAGGTACAAGATCAGGTAAAGAACCCATGCAAAGCGAAAATGACATTTCCACAATGAACGCATGAATGAGCGATAATTTGATGAGCATGTGTCACGACTTTTGTGGCTGACGCTTCAGCAGGTCGTATGTTTCTGTGGCGTTCACGTTGTACATGTATGTATATATATATATAGATACACGCATGCAAGTACTCCGATCCCTCATCATATTTACCGATGTATGTGTGTGGATTTGGCTGTTCGATGGTGCTGAATTTATGTAAACAGCATGAAGTAGTGTGCGACGTGCAAGCACATTTAGGTTCGCAGAGTTCGACACTTTGTGTCCATGAGTATCGCTTGTTAGCTTCTGAGCAGCTCAGGTAAGGAGCTCAACTTGTCGCGCGCACAAATCCCTTCGGCCGAAGTGCTGCGCCGTTACATGGCAGTTCTGGGGTGGCCGAAGTCCGTCGGCGCGACTCTTGCGGACTTAGAAACTTGGATCAATCGCCAGTGGCGTATAATGCGAGTCTATGACGTTGCTTCTGTGCTGTGTATACTTAACTGATGAATTCGACATATCAGGAAGACTGGCTCAACTCGCACGGCGCCGACGAATTGGGCTATGTCTGGGTCCCGCGCGACGGCGTGGTGCTAGGAAGCC